GGGGGGGTTGGAGTACCCGGAGCAAACCGACGCAGGCCTGGGGAGAACATGCAAACTCCACACAGGGAGGCCAGAGCTGGAATTGAACCTAGTACCTCTGCACTGCGAGGTCAACGCACTAACCACTGGACCACCGGGCCACCCAGAAAAGGTTTTCCCTTGTTATTTAAATTTATTGACATGCACATACTGTTTTATACTGTTTGTCTTGTTTTTTTTTTAAACACATTTTAATTCAACCATCATTAATGGGAAATATGTGCCTGCAAAGTTGCCCCAAACTTAAAAAAAAACGCAGTCATGCATGTGGTCCCTCAAGACCTTGAAACATGAAAGTATTACAATACCTTATTGACTCTCCGTAAGAGATCCTCTGCTGTTTGCCTGCTGCAATCACCAGCAAACCAATCTTTGTCCTACATGATATCACTTGAATATAAGTCGACATGTCTCCATTATGCAACTTTTTTAATTTGTATTTATTAATTTTTTCACCTCATTCCCGGATTGTTTGGTTGTTCTCCCGCCACCAGAGACTCAGAATAGAAAATAAAATGTTTTTTTATTCCAACTCTAAAAACCTCGAATTTATTAAAGTGATGATTTAAGCATTTTGGGGTGAAAAATAAATGAGCTTACTTGCATGCTTAGTCATCAGCATGTGGGGATTTGCATGGCTGAAATGTAGACCGAAATGTTAATAACAAACAAAGCTTTATTATACTGTTGGCCTACAAAGTTAAGCCAATCTGAATTAAAATGTGTATCAATTTTACAAGTATTTAGAGTACTTTATCCGATTGCACTTGGTTACTGACCTGAGCATAATGTCCTTTCGACTGGCTGGCAGAGGGGGCTTAAAACCTTCCGCTGGTGAGGGCAGTTTGGAGGTGACGGGTCTTCCTTCAAAGTTAGGAATTAAAATGTTTGGATATGTTGATTTTCTTAAGCATCGCCGGACTATCACATTAACAGTAGATATAAAAAGTCTACACACCCCTGTGTGAATGCCAGGTTGTGATAAAAAAATAAAAATAAAAAGAGCCGAGACCATAATTTCAAAACTTTTTCCAGAATTAATCTGATTTCTTTTTAGAATATTTATAATAACAACGACGACAATGTGGTTGCACCAAAAGAACGCCATACCAACTGTAGAGTGAGGTGTGGAGGCAGCATCATGTTTTGGAACAGTTTTTCTTCAGCTAGAACTTGGCAAAAGTGAAGGGAATTATGAACAGTTCAAAATATTCAACAGTATAAACACAAACCTGAAGGCTTCATAATATTTGCCCAGGGGTGTGAAGACTTGTTATATCCATTGTAAAAAAAAAAAAAAAAAAAAGGAATAAAAGCATTTCTACCTGATTTTACCTCTGTTAAGGAAGGCAGGAGAGAATTCTGAAAGGAAGGAAATAGATGTAATGGTGTGCCATAGGAAGAAGCTGCACTAAGTTCTGTTAACTATATGAATGGGAATGAAAAGTTCCAATGTCTTCAACGGGAAGCGAAAATGGAAAACTCACTGACTTTGCTCTTGGAAGCGGAGGCTTCATTCTGCAGGATGAAAGCATGTCAGGCTACATGTAGTGCAATATGACTGTGTACTGTACTGGTTGCCACCCGATCGCAGGGCACACATTGACGAGCAACCATCCACTCTCACACTCACACATGAGTAGAGCAAAATAATTGATACATCTGGACTGTATTAGATTGTGCAGGTGCACCTAATATTGTGGCCCTGTGTCAGTGATAGATGGTCACATACATGGGCGAATGCGTCAGTGACGTCTTGGTGGATGATGACATTCTCATTGGGCCCCGGGGGGTCGGAGGGCAAGCTGAGGGACAGGAAGGGAATGAAATTCAGATCTGTACCTGGAAGACTTTTCATGCAAACTATGCAAACATTGACTCAAGATAATCTAGTCCACATTCATGCGCCCTACCAGCTGCTGGTTCTAAATACAGGTCGTCGTTAGCCCTCTGAAACATGAGAACACACAGCGTTTGATGTATGAGAATGGCACTGTACTGTACGGTGGACAAGATTTGACTTTAAAACAGGCCCATTTTATTCTGGAGCTTTGCATCACATAATTGATATAAAAACACCTCAAAGAAAATCAGATATGAGTCTCATGTAAATGTTTTGTGAAGTTTAAAAATGAGCTTTACACAGTTGCGTATACAGTACATCTTGTGCATTTCCCTTTTTGTCGCTGGACAATTAAAATAGAGTTGATACTGAAAATAATTTGTTGTTCTAGATATTCATGATGTTGCACCTTGTATAGAATTTTCTAATTTTACATTTTAATTAATTTACCTGTTCTTCATTTGGATCCAAATATACATCTGAAATGCAAACAAAAAAATTAGATAGAGAAAGATGACTGGTATATAGTGACATGGATAGAAACATAGATGGCAAGAACCAGCTGTAGAGCTGATGGATGTTGTACAAAGATTGTTAGATACAACACAAAACACAAAAAAGTCTCCATACCTTTTTTTGTAATACATATAAAAAAAAAAACAACCAAGAGAAATCTTTTCAAAACATTTCCCACCAATAATGTGACCGACAGAGACATAGCTAGCTAGCTCGCTAGCCAACAGCCAGCAAGCCAGATAGATAGATAGATAGATAGATAGATAGATAGATAGATAGATAGATAGATAGATAGATAGATAGATAGGGGGCAATATCTCTCTGCCCAGCGTTTACTGCTGCACAAAGACACAAGGGGGCGCCATCAACACAAGATTCTGTTACACCAAAACGGGTAGAAAGTCTTCCTAGAAGAGTTGAAGTTGCCCTGATTTCATCTCCCTAAGGGGTCATCGACCAGCTGTCCCGATACATTTGTCTTATATATACATACATATATATACATATGCTTGCTATTAAAAAAAAAAAAAAATTGCGTTATTTGACATGAATGACTGCACCTTCCTCAATGGTAGACGTAAGAAAGGGAGCAGGAGGCGGCACCATCTTTTTCCTGCCAGGCTTCTCGTTTCTGTCCACCTCAGGAGCTGAAGGATTACAGAAGACTCAACATCATGTTAAAAATAACATACATTCATTGATTTTGGATGGATTGCAACTTTTTTGTTTATCTCTTCTATGAAAGACCTGGCCCATACGTTATGGCCCTAAGAACAAAAATTTGCCCATCCCAATGTCAGAGTCTTCAGTGTACCAAGCATGCATATTCGAAATATTGGAGGAAGCTAGACAAAACCCAAGCACATGCCAAATCCAAACCCTCAGCCTTTGAACAGAAGCAAATGTGCGAACCACTATGCCCTACACAGTGTACACTATTCGACCATGCCACTGTAAACTGTGTGTGTGTTACTCACGTTTCTTGCCGTTAAACTCCTTAGCCTGCTGATGAGGCTTCTGTACAAAACAGAAGGTAAGCATTTACAAATATATTGTAAAATGACCAGAAACAGACATACACAACACATTTGATGTATTTACCTGAGGTTTTCCACCCGGTCTTGATGTGGGCACAGCCGGCCGTCGTGGGACTGCATCACTCGGGGTTCGTTCTGAAAAAAATTACAAACGTGGAAAATATTTTCTTTAGCATTTGTCTATCCCAGCTGACCTTGCGCGGGAAGTGGATACACTCTGGGCTGATATTAATCACGGGGCTCACAAACAACCACTCACACTCGCATTCACCCCTATGGACATTTTTTCAGTTTTGAATGAAAAACATACAATAGATGAATGGAATTAAAAAAAAATTCACACTGCATCAACTGAATGTTGTGCTTCTCTTTCTGGTGTACTCGCCTTAGCGACCTTAGGACAATTTAAGACAGACAGATGTACTGTTCAATGAGGATGAAAAATATATGACTGAGCACTGTTACATTGTTTTATTGTCTATCTTGTCTGCACACCATTTGTGTTCAACCTGCTGCTGAAAGGGCTAGAGCACTGCATCATAGATGATAATTTGCACAAGCAATAAGTTATCGGCCTGAAAGGCTAAGTTTTGTAGTTTTTTTGTCTTTGTTTGCTTTCCCTTGATGGTCACCTTCAACCGGGAAGGGCAATACATGGCTTGAAGACGCTTTTCGTCGAACTGTTCACTACTTGGCAACGTGCAGATTATTGTCAAGTAAATTGAATTGAATTCACTGCCACCACACAGCGCTCATATCTCTCGTGTCTGCGCTCACATGTCAAAGCAAAAAAATTGGCTTTTCAAGAGGGTCATTCGTTTCTCAAGGCGCCACTGTACAACTATTCTCTTTGTGTGTGAGCGAATGTTCTTACCTATATAAACGTTCTCTTCGACTTGCCTCGGCGGGACTGTGACAACTGGACGCTCGCAGGGAGGGACTTCATACATGTCACCCTCCTCCTCATCCTCTTGCCACTGAAACGTTTACAGTCCACATTGTTGCCTCTCCAATTTAGTAAGAACATCCATCCATCCATCCATCCATCCATTTTCTGATCTTTTTATTCTCACAAGAGTCGCGGAGCGTGCCGGAGCCTATCCCAGCTGTCTTTGGGCAGTAGGCGGGGTACACTCTGAACTGGTTGCCAGCCAATCCCACGGCACGCATAGACGAACAACCATCTGCGCTCACACTCACACCTAGCGACAATTTAGAGTGTTCAATCAGCCTGCCATGCATGTTTTTGGAATGTGGGAGGAAACCAGAATACCCGGAGAAAACCCATGCAGTCACGGGGAGAACATACAAACTACACACAGGAAGGCCGGAGCCGGAATCGAACCCTGCACCTCTGCACTGTGAGGCCGACGTGCTAACGAGTTGACCACCGCGCTGCCTTGTATTATTCTACATCATATAAATCTAAATTGTCCTCGCATCAATTGTAAGTGTAAATACGAGGGTGATTTGTCGTTTGTCTATATGTGCCCTGCGATGGACTGGTGATTTATTTTGAGTATTCCTCACATTAGTGATCCTGGGATAGGCTCTAGCTCGCCTGTGAGTCAAATGAGGGCAAGCACTGTAAAAAAAATGATTCTGACCATGATAATTTCATTATTTGTGGGTCGAGTCTGTCAAGAAAAAAAAGCTGACATTAAAACACTTTACTTACAACTCCCTGCTGTTTCCACCCAAAGTCCTCGTTGTTGCCTGAAACAATCATGGAGTTTGGAATGTAGCGCTACAAACACAGTAATAAATGCACTTTTTAGAGGGACGTTATGTCACCTGTCCTCCTAGGTGGTGCTGGAGCGCCGCTGAGAGGAGATAAAAGAGGCTTGGCTCAAAACTTTACACAAGAGTAGACATTTGAGGTCGTCATACTTACATGTTCTTCAATTTGCCAAAGAAATTCTGCAAGGAGAAAAAAAAATAATTGGCTATTTCAATTTGTTCGCTTCAAGTTTGTGCTCTCATGAATGCATGCCTAATCATTGACTTGTCTTTACTAGTCAAATATTATGAGTCAGGCAGAAGCTCTCCCTGATGGATAAAGACACTTTGTTCGGGCAGGAAAAATCAATGTTGGATACATCTTAATGTGGCAGAGCAACCCCCCCCCCCAAAAAAAAACAACAACAAAAAAAACGCTTACTGTTTATCCATAAGTAACATGTTTTTTTTTTCTTCATTTGCTATTATTGAACAGCCACATATTCCTCATGCACATACAGTATAGCGAAAGGAACCATATTAGGTCATGGTCATTTAAATCAAGTTTTCAAATGATAACTCACTTATAATGGTTTATGTTTATTAGAATTACTGTATACTGTTTCTGAATCTTGTTACATTGACGAGGAAACTGAAAAATGGGTGATTTGCAGACACTATTGTACCTCAAGTATACTATGACAATTTGTATTTTAATTATTAAATATACAAATAGACCTTGGTTGTATTTTATGAGTAGACTAAGATGTGTGATGAGTAAACTTTTTGTTTGAAATGAATGCATTGTGTTCAGTGCAATACACGGCTTATTATTTTGTGTCACTGTGCTCGTATACAAACATCTTTTTCTTTCCAACCTGTGCTTCAGTCCTGGAAAATAGAAGATTAAAAATTGCATCCAACCAGTAAATGAGAGCGACTGTCCAGTCTGTTTTCTCATAGGACTCCACAGGTGAAAATTGTCACAAAAGAAATGTTGACATCGAGTAAATGATTGTGGAAGGTTAAAGGGGGTGATTTTTCTTCTGTTAGGTGTGATCACACTTGTATGTCATCACATAGAAAGTCAGTCAGAGACAATGCTGCCTTTCATGACATAAGAGAACCAGGAAGAAATCTGTAGCAAATACAAACTCACTTTTCCTCATTTGAGAATTATTATCATCAGATTATTCAATCGTAAGTAAAATTATATATATATATATATATATATTTTTTTTTTACCAAAAGGTGTCAAACTAAAACTATGAAAATCAGTGAGTATAAGTACGACCACACACACAAAACAACAGCGTCCTCTTAAAGGGGGGAAAGGAAATAAAAACCTTTTAACAATGGAGTGAAATCTGCAGCATTCAAATGATTCAATTTGCATACAAGGGAACTCAGACTCTCTCTACTGTACAGTAGGTTCATACAGTACTGTATGTCGAATTTAAAAAATCAGTCATAGTAGTTCTGAATTAACATTTCTGTCAGATTTGTAAGACTTCATGGGAGAATTATTGTACGGCACCTTTTTTTCTACGTCAAAATGAACTATAATTATGATTCATGAATCATGTAATATTATTTGAATATCAATATATATGTATATATATATATATTGTCACGATATGAGAGAGAGAGAGAGAGAGAGAGATGTTAATCATGATATTCTAAAAGATAATTTTTATAACGAAGAACATTTTAAAATGAAATGATAAACGAAATGAACATTCTGTTTGTCAAATAATACATTACCATTTTCATGATTTAGGATGAAGTCTCTTAACTCAAGTGATGAAGAAATCGACGTCTTTGTTCGGTGTCCCACATGCAAATGCGCTCAAGCAACGACAGCACTCGCACACAAAATACGGAGGACAGTTCCAACTCGACTCATTTGCATTTCCTTACCTCCCGTGGATCCACGCCTCTTGACACCGCATATCAGATCATTTTATACAAACCTTTTCATGAGCAACCTGCGTAAAAACAGGAAATTAAAAAAATTTAACACTGATTTGAGTGGTCACATAAACGGCGGGAAAAGACGGTTTGCATCCAATTAATGTTTTCACATACGAAAATTAATTCTGGTCTGTTTCAATGAAAAAAAAATCCATAACCTTCGTTTTTTTCGCCACTGTACCATATTTGTGGAGTGGATATGTAGGTCTGTGAAATAAGTGATTATCGTCCCCTTTCTCTTTCCTCTGAACACACCTCGAGCAGGGATTGAAACACCACCTAGTGGACAAGTGCGTTATCCCACCTCTGGTTCTATCAGGCCAATGAGTCCAGTCTCTTACCATTTTAAAATGTAATACCGCTCATGTATAGAGATTAGAAGCGCCAAGAATTTCAGCATGTACCTTGAAAAACCCACCACCAGAGACCAATCCATGAAGGCTCATAATATAAAATAGAGTGGATGTGTAACAAACCGGGCAATGACATGTGGGTACATCATCTGGAGACATGGTGAAGCAGCATGTGGTTGCCTCGTTCCAAGACAGAATACAGTACACAAGCTGCTGTCACACATGGACTGAACATGATGGGTCCTGCCTTCAGTGAGGACAATACAATCAAGAAACACATTTTCATCCATTTTATGCTAATTCGATCCTTTCCACCACCCACTCCGTCCGTTTGTAGCTACATTGTCATCATTATAGTATAATGAGTCCCAAGGTTCGTCTGCACCTCGATTCACAGTGGTGTTTTGATTTTTAAAAAAAATATTGTTGGGAGAACGCATAAATTGCAAAAATACATTTCCTCCATCCTTCATTGATGCTTGCTGAGTTCAAAAACAAATTCAAAAAAATAGTACAAACTACCTACAACAATCAGAGTTAAAATGATAAATTCTAAACATTAAATATAATGAATCAGAACTAGGTTGATAAATAGAGAAAGGTATTGAAATATCCATTATGAATACAAGAGAAAATTAACACAAGAGTGCCAGGGTGTGTATATATAAATTCCCGATACAAACCAAAAGTATAAAAATATCACGGTTAAGGGTAAAGCATGAGCCTTAATGGAGACTTCTTTCTTCTTACTCTGTTTCTTTTCTGATTGATATAAAAATGATTCAATAGATATAAACATACAACACGGGGTAGGACTAGATAAGTTCTTTACTTCTTCCTACTCCCTTGAACATAATAACTGTGTTGAATGATGACTAATTTCTCTTTCCTCTTTACTATTTTATTTACCTTATTTTCTGTCAAATTATTACTGTATATGTTTTATGTTCAATAAACAAACAAACAAACAAACAAATGATCTGATTTACTAATTCAAAGCTGACCTTATATGAATGTACTTAAAATAAAGGCTACTTTAATAAAAAGACTGCAAAGGTGTTCCAAACGAATGGCAAAGATATTGGTTTTGCTTCATTTTAAAATGTTCTTTTACAGTGGTGCCTTGAGATACGAGTGACCCAATTTGGGAGTTTTTCCAAATATGATTTTGGCAAATCAATTTACAGCACAACTTGGCAGTGTTTTGGGAGACAGTAAACAATGATTGAAAAAGGTTTTTCCTAACTTCCCTGTTCAAGCCTGTTGTCAAACAAACTAAGAGAGTCGCATATCGATTTAAAGTAACCAATGACTTTACCTGGGTGGCACAGTGGTCGATGAGTTAGCACGTCCACCTCACGGGTCAGAAATCCAGGGTCAGAATTGAATAAAAATAAAAACACAAAGCAGAGGAAGTGTCGTGAGTCCAAAAATTTAATGTATTTTACCCGCTGTGATTATAGAACAATAAATTATTTACAACACATGTAAATTTCTATAAAATACACATAAATATTAAATTAGTAGAAAAGTTAAAAACACACAGGTACAAATTATTTGTCTGGAGCTACGTAGTTTATCAAAATATGAAAAAAGGCAATCATACAAACGTTATACTTTACATGCTGCTGTCCATGCTAGGCTGTATCCATGTGTCACGAGTGTTATGTTACAAAAAAAGTCCCTGTTACATATTCCCAAGTAAAAAAATAAAACAAAAAAAATTATAAAATCGAGCAGAATCTGAACCAGCAGATTTTATGAACTGAATGTGATGCAGAAGTCTGTGTTGAGCCTTTGCCATTGCGGGTGCTGCCGATCACTGACCCTTCACACCGCAACCAGCTCCACAGGGGTGAACTGACCAAAGCAACTGAACACATCTGTGCATGTAAACACACATAGATGACCTCAAGGGGGGGACACACTGGGCCCTCAAGCACAGGAAGTGAAGAACATGGAGCAACTGTGAGTGTTCAGAGCCCATGACAGAAGTTCCTCTTGGTCCCTCGAAGCAAGTGCTTGTCTCAAACATCCACTATTTGGATTTAGATACAACACGCATAATTAAGTGAACGCATCGTCATCTTGCTGCTCAGATCGGGTTGGCCGTCATTTTGTTATGAATCCAGTCGATGTAACGGGTGACGCGTGTGTAGACTCCGGGTTTATCCCTCTGGCCGCAGCCATCACCCCAGCTGACGACTCCCATCAGGGTCATTTTGTCATTGTTGCGGCAGACGAGAGGACCGCCAGAGTCTCCCTGGAAGGGCGTTCAAAAGGTATTTAGAAAAACATCTAAAGTATAGTTTACCTAATTAGGCATCTTCAGACCGGATTAGACTGGCGACACCCCTGTCGCCAGTCTAATCCAGTGTGAAGCCATAGCACTTGTTTTCGACAACAAAATTCAAGTACAGTTAATTTGTTTTTCACTTTTAAATAGAATGTCATTTAGTGTTTTGCAGCGGTTTGATTTTCAATGTATGTATTTAGGTACAATTCTCTTTAACCCGCAATACTATAATCGCCATGAGAATTTGCCTGTGTACTTGAATGATGTATACTTGCTGCACCGTAGTGTAAATAAGTTAGTAATGGGGACTCACCTTGCAGGCGTCATCCAGGCCTCTTGTGTCGCCCGCACACAGCATGTTGGCGGTGACTGTGCGTCCAGACAGCACAGCAGGGACACAACGCTCTCTGGGCCACAAGCGAACAAAACCTCTCTTGACACGCTCAGAATAATGGGCAGAAACTATGGAGGAGAAAAGGACAAGTTGAACATCACCTCCAGGGTGAGAACAGGGCCGCAGTCAAGTTCATGTCAGAGGTCAGTTGGCGTACACTCAGAGTCTTTCCCGTAGCCTGAGATCTCACACTCGGTCCAGTCAGGCAACACCAGGCCAGCTTCAGGAAGACACGCAGGGAGAACCTCTGGAGAGTTCACGGCACAGACACCAATGTCTGATTTCAGCTTCAGCAGAGCTGCAAGAAAATATTGGATGCGAGAAAGTCAGCGTGGCATGCCAATCTGACTCACTTAGTATTGCATGCACTGCTATTTTGTTGAAGCTGGATGTGCGCATGATGTGAATTTGAGAATTCACTCATGAACATTAGTGAGTGGCGTGGCTTTAACCAAATGCATGAATGTACAATGAGGAAAGTTCACAGAGTTAGGGGCACGTACAAACATTGTGCCTTAATTCAATACAATAGCATATAAGAGGTTAATTGAGCATGTCAGTTGTACCCACCGATGTCATTGTCAAACGTCTCGTTGTCAAATTTCTCATGGATCCAATATTTTTCCACTTTGAAAATCTGCTCACTGCTGGAATTCTGTTTGCGGAATGTCCTGCCCAGAATGACCTCCAACTTTGAAGGTTTATCCCTGCACAAAGGAGAACACACATGACCTTCATGGTATGACGTGACATGTAGTGTATGGTATGACAATGCCAGGTGTGTGTTTGGGCAGATATGCATCTATAACGATACTAGGCTCAGTACAGATGCTGTACAACTGTTCTCATGAAAATGCTCCGATACAATACTACCGATACCACTTCACCAGCCTGACATACCTTCCAGGAAGAAGCTATGTCGGCCATGTTTTATGTTTAGTAGTTTTATTTTAGAACTTTTGTTATTCCCAAAAAAAAAGTCCTGTATTTTTTTAACTCACATTTTGTAGAAAAAAACAAAGAGGTAACATGGCATCCTCTGTGTAGAGCCACTTATTCTCTTATCTACTCCGTGCACTCCTTTGATATAGTGCCCCTAGTGTTCAGAATGAGACACCACTTAATTAAAATGACTTGCGTTACAGGCTTTTGAGTGAAACTTGTGCCACGTTCATTAAAGTTTTGTGTTTTTGAACAAAAAGTATGAGCACTATCAAGTATCGCTGCTCTGTATTGTATAAGTAGTCAACCACAACATGTTATCAGTGCGTTATAGGGAGATATGTAACGAGTGAGTCTCATTTACGTGGGCTCGAAGCAGTGAGCTGCAGACAGGACCCAACAGGAGTCAATGAGAATTCCTCCGCAGCGGTGGAAGTGTTGCCGCAGACGAGCCTGGTAGACATTAATGGCGGCCTGCCAGGGCTGTTCCGTAATGTCGCTTTCACGACCTCCGAACATGCGGAAGGTAGGTTGGCTCAGGGTGTTGTCCAAACGCTGGCCGCATTTTCCTGAAGATAGGACGGACGGATTGTGAGACGACTCTTCAAACAACACGAGCAAACTGACTGGGGTTTGATGGGGTCATGATGATGTCATACCTCGGTTGTTGTTGATCATGGGGCCTCGAGGGCCCAGTGGGGTGATGGTGGATGGACGTCTCGCTGAAAAAGAGAGGAGTCCACTCAGTGAAACTAATGCAGTTTTGAATATCACAGTTCATTAATTTCATTAGTTCAAGTCATGGAGTGCGTAAAGCTCATCAGCAAGCTCTGAAAAAGCAAGATAACAGTCCTGATAATTTGAACCAGGTGTGTTGCAGCAGACAGAAATGGACAACGGGCAGGACAGGACAATGGACAGGAATATCATAGTCAGACTGAATTGTCTTTTTGGCTGGGAATAATCTTCAAAGACAATTCTCAAATAAAAAAAAAAAAAAAAAAAAAAAAAAAACTTACAGGACATTGCAGATGATGAGAATAGAATACAAAATGACCCTTTCCTTTAAGGACACCGATCGCTGTGGTTTCCAGCAAAGGTGCGCGCTATTTGCTTTCCCAGATGTCAAAGTTGTTGTTCATGAAAATTTAACCCATAAATTAGAAAGACTTTTTTTTATATCTAAAAACAAATACGTATTTATTTTTAAAAATAAAAACTTCATCCTTAATCATTAATGTTAAAAACGCACTTCCAATACAGTGTCATATTTATGATAAGTGGAGTAACTAATAACATTGAACCAGTGAGAGTGAGATTATTTCTAGATGACATTACAGTGCGGAACAGCAGCAACATTTACCCTTTTATGCTTTACATTTTAAAGGCTTGCATTTATATTGAAGCGACGACAGACTGCTGAAAAAAAACAATGAAAAAGGGTGTAAACAACTCACTGCATTTCGGGACATCACAGAGCTCCCACGTCAGCTGCAAATTCTTGTATATATGACACCACGGGCCTTTATCACCGTCAGGATTCCTGTTGGATGAAAGCAGATGCTTTGAGGAACTGAGTTTATTTTATATGATTTAACGACATTGTTTTCATCCCGGCTTTTGTACCTGCAGTAGCTGTGGCTGCCCAGGCCCACTTCGAGGGCATCAGACCTCCAAGCGTTGTTGGTCTTGTGCATGATAGCCGGAGAGTCCCATTGGAGACAAAGGGCGCCACTTTTAGTGACGGACTTCGTACCCCTGTAAGTCAGACCGATCCCTCTCGTGCATTCTTCGTACTTATCTGATGTAAATCACATAGGGGAGCACACATATGGGTTACATAACAACCATTAATGTACTGGTCAGTAGAGTGCTTGATGTGAGGTGCTACCTTGTGAACATTTGGGCAAGGAACAGTACTCCCAGATGATTTGAGTGCCTTTGTAAGTGTAACACCAAGGAGCACCGTCACGATCGGGGTTCCTGAGAGGAGAGAAAATCATCTTTGGGTCTCCGCATGAGAAAGGTACGGTTTAAACACTGAGTGGGAAATCCAACTGTGAGAGAGTTCTAAACAGCCCAGTGTGCGATTCTAAAAACGACGACTTAATTAATTAATCAAATGATCAATTGGCGCAGGGTATTTGCCCATACAGATCTGTATTTTCTTACAAACCTGCAGAAGTTGTGGTTGCCTAGCCCGAGGTTGCTGGCCTCCACTTTCCTGGCGGTGAACTTTTTTCCCCTGAGTGCCGTACTGTTCCAGTTGATGCACTCTGCTCCCGACTTGCTGAGACTCCACGTGCCGCGATAGGCCTCCCCACTGCCCACAACGCACTTCTCTTTGGTGTCTGGAAACAAACAGCTGACTGATTAGATACACGTACACCCTTGATTATTCTTGGCATTCATGTCTCTCTTAAGGGTTTATCAAATGCATTTATTCTGACCGGATGAAGGCTATTTCCCACTGCGGAACAATTCTTCACAGCATTTGAATGTTATCATTTTGACATTACGTCCTTATTGCATACCAAAGGGAACCTGATTGTGCGCGGTTCAAGTGTTTTTCGTCTTGCGGAATCAGATGATTGCTTGCTTTGTCTTGCGAGCAAAAATTTGAAATACTAAGACTGTGTGGTGACAGTGACGGCAAGCAGCGATTTGGCAGAATAATTCTTCAAAGCCAGCTTTCAAGCTGTTTATTGCCGCTCAAAGTTGAAGTTTACTGTCAAACTAAACATCAGACAAAGAGAACAACACATTGTGTATTTAAAACAACTATAGAGATTTGCCTTGGATATAATATCCCAATACTAATATTTAATATAATAATACACAGGCTCAATTTGCTAGTCTCTGTGAAGATCGACTAAGGCGCCTTAAAGAGAAGTTTAACTTGTGACCCTCCCCATGTATAATCATATGACTGCGTTATACTGCTCTCATGTGGCCAAGAAGGGCACACAGAAGGAGCAGCGAGATTGATTTGAAGGAAAAAAATGTCAAGGGCACCATTGTACATTTTGAGAGACATTAAAGGTCTGTTTTTATTTAATGTATGAAACCTGCAATGCTTCCTCAATGGCTTTGAAGAATCAAAAAACAAACAAACATGTATTGACTTTGGCTTTCACTAAGGCTATCACTGGCTAGCTGCCACTAGTGATGTACTTTGCGTAATTGTTCCACTGAGAGGGTGCGGTGTCTAACTGTCCCAGAAAGAATTGCACAGATATAAAACATTCATACATCAGTGCTCTTTGCATGGTTTAGGGAGTTTTCTGTTTGCAATAATTAATCTAAATGTCTTAAGAGACATTTTAATTATTTTGTCAGGGTCTGGGCTAAACTACATAATCTTAGTCCTTCATCATAAGAGATTTTGGACAATTGTATGCTTTCAGTTTTTTGGGGGAAAGCCCTTTTCTGTTCCTACTCTAATTGCCCCACGGGGATAAAGTTTTCTGAACCTGAATCTACATGACTGCACCCCATTGCACAAACACAAGAGGCGGATTGGTAGAGTTGTCTCGCTAAATGAACTTTTTCCGACTTCATCAAGGTAAGGTGGTGCTTGCATCAAACGGCCACCACTGATCAAATACCTTCGGAAGAACTAAAACGGGGATTGTGAGCCCGCGCCCTACTTACTGATCTCACACCGGGAGCCACTGAAGCCTGGGGGGCACTGACAAATGTAGTCCGAAGAGTACACAGCCTCCTTGCATGTCCCTCCATTGTAGCAATGAGACGTGTAGCAGTCTAGAAGGGGCAGAAAACCAAAGCGGGTTAAGATATACTGCATATCACTACCTAAAAAGTGAACAAAGGTTATAATGGATGATGTGTTCAGCAGGGATTCAGCCTTTCATTTTGCGCCACTGCAATATTATGTTTTGCTCACCAAGTGTTTGAATGGGCAGACAAATGAACAAAAAACAAATAGGACATGACTTTTAAGCATGCTAAAAATAATTTATTTAGCTCAATGCCGAATACGGTGCCCCTTAAGCATCAGTGCCCACTTGCAGCCTGCTACACTTTTTTTTAACTAACCTGCCATGTCACAATAAATTAAAAACATTGCCAGTAACAGAAAGTTACAAAAAAAGTTTACAATTTTGAAAGACATCGCACTATTTTTAAAATATAACAGAAAATGGAAAAATGTTTCACGTTATTTGATGCCACACTTTTCACCTTATATTATTTTTTATGCTTAAAATAATGTTTGATAATATCACACTTGTTTTTATTTTAAAAAATTGTTAGGATGTTGTGAAATATAGCATTACTTTTGCAGAAAAAATGAGAAGATTAATGTTACAGCAAGATCACGCAAGACAATCAGACAGTCAAAAAAAGTGGATTTACAAATATTTTGAATGTTACAAGATATTACTACTTTTAATTAATTAATTAAAAGCTCAAACTGTCCATATTTTTCCTCTATCCATACAGTACATTTTTTAAGTGCAGTTCAGTTCAGTTGTATTTGTTCTTCAAATAAAATGCATTTGCATTTAATTTTTTAGGACGGTTTGTTCACATACAGTTCATCAACACTGTACAGACAAGGCGGAAAAACAGTTTCATGCGATTGCCAGCCAGGTTCTCTATTTATTATTACAAGAGGTCTAACTGGAGGATAATACCAGCCGCAGGCTCAAAACTGGCAGCCTGAGCTCACAAGTTGGCCGGCTGCTGTGTGGTAAGAAATATTCTGAGGGAAAAGCGACCATAAGTCACCGAATTCGTCACTGGGGGGGGTGGGGGGTGAAATGCACCAGGAAGGAGCAATGTCAGACTAAACTACACCTACAGAAAGCCGACAGTGCAATTCAGACCAAATAGGAAAAAACCCCAAACAAAAACGATTGCTAGCGTTTGTTGCAGCCAAGTTAGCTGTGAAGTCAAGACACAGCTAGCAGACAGGAAAGGTCAACTGTAAGATATTTTGCCAAAAGTCACTAACTATGTCATGTCTTTGTTAAAATGTACATACATTGTACGTTTACATCTCACCACAAAAAGCTAATCAACTAATAAGGTCTTGATCTTCTGTATGACCACCAAATGAAGAAACGTGCAATATTTGGTTGTATCGTGATTTACTGTACATGTTGGGCCTCTTGTCCCAACTTTATACTTTGAAGCTGTTGAGGTGATAATGTATTACAAAATTAGGTCAGATTGCTGATCAGGGGCTTTAAAACAAGATTTTTATTTTTATTTTTTTATCCAAGGCAATCCACTTAAGTAGCACCCAATGACATGCCCATAATGTTTCAGTTACATTACGTGGCATATTTGGAGCACAACAAATGTTTTGATGTTGATCTGAGAGTTTATAGAGTGGATCTTGGTAAGATTTTCAGGCAAAAAAACCCCAACGTTTTTGGTCATTGAGTCAACATCTGAGGGTAAATTTTAAAAAATGATGAAATACATCCTTTGTTGATACCTTAATTTTTAGATATTACTAAATGTGGTTTATTGAGAAGTGATTTTTGACTTCATATAATGTTGAATATTATTTTTCACCTTACTACTAATGATCTCTGAGCTTGAACACTACGCCTTCGGCACTCACTCACTGCATGCCCACCAAATTTGGAGACAGTTCTCAGCGATTTACATGTAAGTGAAATACAAATGTTAAATGTTTTTGTCTTGATTTGTGTCTTTAAAGTGACATTTTGAAGCAAAACGTGTATATTTTGGGGGTTACTGCGTCATCACACGAGGCTATACAAAAAAACCCTTAAATGGTCACTATCAATGTATTTTTGTTGTAAGGGTGTAAACACGGTGATTGTACTTGTTGGATCGTGATGTGAAAGCAGAATAGTGTTGATAATATGTTGCACTCACTGATGACGGGCACAATGTGACACAGTTCTCGTCCTCTAAACGCACAACGGCAATACTCCACACGCTGTCCCTTCCATCGCAGCCAAGTGTCCCCATAACTATGCACGGCTGACGTCGTACTATCCACACAACGTGCTGAGAAGACACACACAAACCACATGCAATTCATCAGCCAATCATACTACAAGATTACAAATGGTTGTTACATGGACAAACAGAGATGCAAATCATGAGGCAATCAGACGAGAAGATTACAAATCGTGATTGTTACATGGACAAACAGAGCGGAACAAAAGAATCTGAAGCTGAGGTGATGTTGTTATAAGGAAAGGCAAAAAGAAAAAAGAATGGGTGGGCTCACGGGAGGTGTCAAAGGAAGGTGAAGGCTTCTGGATATGAACAATGAAAAGTGGCCGCCTGGATGTCTTCCGCTGAGGCTCACCTCGGTAAAAACGAGTTCCTCTCTTGGAGCGGAGCAGCTCCGCCTGAAATAATACACAACAGCACCAATGTTCAAGATCACGAATAACATTTAATTACCTCTACTTTTCATTTCAAGACGTTCTTCGATGCGCAAGGAAGTCAGTGACGGGGGTCTCGTTATTGCGTGACAATCATGAATTGTGACGTTGCCTACTTTTTTTCAGTTAAAAAAAAAAATTCACATTTCAGATTACACTAACGTCATCCAATCTACGCCCGCCACTATTTGAGTAATTTAGCAACAGCATGCTTCCATATTAGCTTTCAGAGAGCACATCTGTGGAATTAATCCATACAATAAAAAAAGTCAATTAGTGAGCCAGTCCGCCAATGATGACGTTAGCTATGTCTGAATTACCGCCATGTCTATTTCGGAATCTTTTTATCTGTTGAAATGTAAATAACAGCCTCTGTTTCGTCTCACTTCAGCGAAATTTACCTCTTCTACCATCTTCTTTTCGACTGACACATCACTCATTGAAACTACATTAGGAGAGGAGAAGGCTAAAAAAATCATCATTCAAAACATATCAAATGTTTTGTCAGTCGTTCTGCCTTGTAAATACACGTGACCGCATGGCAATAGCGGTTGTATACAGTATTGCGATATTGATTTGAAATGAAATGATTATAAATATATTTTATAGATGAACCCTTTCTGTTTCCTGTGCAAAAAGGAAGTGTGCTACTTACACTGTCCGCTAAGCAGCAGAAGAGAGCACACAGCACCAAAAATTGTATTCTGGTCATGGTCTTGGGGTGGTCTTTCAAGCTCCTCAGTTCTCTGCAAGCACAAAATGAAATTGCATTGGATGGATCAGATTTTAGATTCACATACGGCTGTATCGAAACATCTGATATAGATGGGTCGAACTGAAAAGAAGAAATAAAAATGAAATCATTGCGTTTGCCTTAGAGCGGTTGTGTCCAAACACGGTCTTCAAGGGCCGCTATCCTTTTCATAAAAAAACAACAAAAATAATATTAAATATTTGTTTGTGTTTTGGATTAAAAAAAAAATGGAAGTGGACACAATTTAGAGGCACATGCTTTTCCTGTTTTACTTCAACAATGCAAAGCTTTAAAAAGTTTTAAATTACATTGAAATGATTACCCTTGCAGTTTTGTAATACAGTAAATTCTTTTTTTTTTACACTGCTACCACCATTAAATGCAATTGAGGGTTAAACCCTCACACACGTGGACACTAAATATAAGCACAAGTTACAACCTAATCTAACCAGGAAGCTGACTAATAGAGCTTGAGTGTGCTTGTTGAATGAATCTTAATTGTTAATAGTGAATCAACAATTGCAGGAAAAATTATCATACAATTCTAGTTACAATTCCTTTGTTTCCTCTGTTGCTTCCTTTCTGCAAAACTATGCCTGTGCCCCAGGGAAGCCGCTGGGAGGAAAGGGTGGGACAGGTGGGGAGGAAACATGGATTCGACTCTGACTCAGGCAGGAAATCAATCGTAACGCATTGTACAGGACAGTTGGATGATGTGTTTGGGCTTCAATTAATCATTTACTTTACACACATTCACATACAGTGGATAAAAGTCTACACAGACCTATGTAAATGGCACGTTTTGTGGTATGAGAAAAAAGAACTGCGCGAAATTATTTTTAAATCTTTTTCACCATTAATGTGATTTATAACCTGTATAACTAATTGGGGGGGGGGGATAATAAAGTTCTACTGTTCTAGGAGGCTTTTCCTGACATCTTTTTTCTTTTTAGCAGCAGTTGAGGGCTTTGAGTTGATACTGACTGATATTTGGAACTGAATTTACTTACAGTACACATGTCCATTGTGTACTTTAGTTAATGAAGTAAGGAAGAAGCGCTGGAAACCCTGCAAAAATTATAGGGTCCTCGTATTACGACAGTCAACATTTTAACTGCTCGTAACAAGTTATTTTGCGCAGTGGCGTAAAAATAAATTTTCATTTCCCGCTACCAGTGTATTTATTGTTTTTGTTTTGCTTGTTTCTTATTTATGGCCTAAAAGTGTTTTTCATGCAACACTTTACTGAAATTGTTACTTTACTGCTGCCTTACGGTAGGTAGAGCATCTTCGGTGCTTCCCAACTTACATACAAATTCTGGATGCGTTGTCACTGTTGAAATATAATTCCATCATAAAGGAAATCCCTGTATAAGGTTGCAATAGAACTGCCTGCATGTAAATTATGCCTCTCAAGGATATACACCATGGTTGGGAAAAAAACGTACTCAAGGGCCTTGTTTGATTAATTTTTGTTGAACAAAAGGATAGTCCAGGCCATTCATAAGATTGGAAAAAAAAAAGACCGTCCATCAGCAAGTCACAGGGAACAGATATTATATCGACAGACTACTGAGTCACACTCAAATTTGCACTTGAGAGAACTGAAACTGCGCTACCGGCATGGAAGTCAAGCAAGTAAACCACTACGCTCTCAGTGACTCACCCTGTACCTAAATTTAGTCAACAGGTCCTGTGGTCCAAACACACAGGTGTCCTCCAAAAGTTTCCTGTCCTGGCGGACAGAATGTATTTGAGACTCTAAATTAATACCTCTAATAATATAAAGGTCAAAGGTACAAAAGCAGTTCATTGTTCCCCTAAAATTACAATACAATAATGTACTTCCAACACCCTCCAGCCCAAAATTTGTATTTAACCAAACAGACAGTCTGATCCTCTAATCTTGGGAAAGTTTTCATTCTCTGGTGTCTGCCAGTTCACCCTCTCTGCTTGACTGGGCACACAGAAAGCAGAACTGTGTTTTCACATCACTGACTACACACACACACACACACACACACACACACACAAAGCAAATCATTACGAGCCCAATAAGATCTGCTGCCTTGTAAAGCGATCACACACTCACCGTTAAAAGGATGGGCCACTTTCTAGTTCTTGTCTAAAAACAAAGCAAATGGACCTTTCTATTGGAGAGTGATTTAACACCCCCCCAAACTGAACCTCACCGACTCAACGGGCTATAGTTTCCTTTTTGTTTTCCTTTTGTGCAGCTGTGCGGCTTAGCTGTGCCCCCCTCTTGCCGGCCCTGTCAGTTGAAAACATGTGTTTCCTGCTCACATGCTGGCTGAGAAATACAGTACATGCAGTATCAAGCCCTGCAACTTAAAAACACACCCAGATCAGACATGAACATATGTTCCTCCCACCCTGTTTGGAGCCTCTTGTATCTAAGAGGCATGAGGCCATGCCTGGGTTCAACTCACAACCTCAAAATGTAATTACATTACTTCCAAAGGCAAGTGGCATTGTTTTGAAGGGAATTTTGCTCTTTTCTTATGTACTCTGTGTGTGTGTGTGTATGTATGTATATATATATATATATACACACACACACACACACATACATACATACACACACACTAGCCACTAGCTAGCTAGCTCACGAGTTAACAGACTTGGTCCTTGTCATAATTACGAATCAGCTTGCAATTGTCCTGACAACCACTCGTGAACAGAGACAGATGCTCAAGGCGTCTGTTGCAGGACCAAGACTGACCTGTGATAGGCACCACGGTACCACAGAACATCCAGAAAATACAAAAGAAGAAGAAGGACAAGACACTAGGCTAACTTTTAGCTCATGTGGCAATTGCATTGCAGTGGCAAATCCTTCTGCTTTGTCCTTTGTATTGTGTTGAATGACTTATGAGACACGTAAAATAAAAGCTCAAGAGTGTTGAATGACTTATGAGACATGTAATATAAACACTCAATCTTACCTTTATTTGTAACAAGAATTTGGTGTTGACCACACACAAGCATTTGTGATTGTAAATACTGAACAGGTTTAACATTTAAGGTTGTTGGCTTTGACCATTTTCCAAGCAGAATAGAGAGTAAAAGAAAAACACTCTCAACACCCTCCACACCACAGGATAATCACTCAGAATAATCTTGATCATTAGAAAATCGGGCCATTGCTGACTTCGATCGCAAGAGAAAAATTTCCGATGAGGCCAGACCATCAGTATGGATGAAGACCTATTTCTCTTGAATGGTTGCTCTATCGGAATAGCACAGATGGCTCCAGGATTTTTTTTTTCTCCCGGGGTTAAAGGGGTGCTTGACTGATAAATAGGTGGGCTGAGAATCTAATTTCTAAATATATTTTATCATAGCACAAAGTAGACGCTGATAGAGTCATTGCACAAATCATGTGTGTATACTTACTTTGGGAAACTTAGTGTGTTACATTGTCAATGGGGTTTGAGGATCGTGGGGTTTTTTTGTAGGTCAAATATGAGTGGAACAAGTGAAAACATCTTCGGAGGATCAGAAGCCAGACACTGAGTCACAACACTGCCACGTTTGTAGGGCAAACACGTGCAGTGATTAAAACAAAGACATGCACAGCTGTATGTGTCATTTGACCTCAATCTTGTAATCACCTTTTTGGAGGCCTTAACATGATTGAAAAGTGTTTTTATCCAGGTCAGTGGCGTGGGGGGCCGAGGGCATCCAAATTATGGGGGACAACATGCATTCAATTCGAGTGTGAATGGTTTATGACTGGGAAAATTCCAACAGCTAAATTTGATAATGTAATAATTTCTTGGTTTCACCAAGAAAACGTGGGTGCAACGGCCCATTTCAGTATTTACTGGTCCTCTATTGCGTTTGTACCTGCTTGGACTTGTTCAAGTTGACAAGCAAGTGCAACGATGACGGAGCACTGAGGTTCGAAGAGATGGAGGTGGGACATTCTTGCCTTCCAGTAATGACCAGAAAATGTGGAAGCCTAAAATGGTGAGAAAGTGCATGCGACATACTTGCATTTCCGTGCGAAAAGACTAAATTTAGGGTTGCTCCTGTACACTGAAGTGTGCACGATTTGATTCATGAAGTGTGAGGAATAGTACTCCACTCAACTCTATCTGTACAGCCTTTGAAAAACAACCACAGGTGGAACAAAGCACTGTCCACAAAAAATAACAATTAAACATAATGTATAAACGATTTTATAGGATGAAATGATTTTGAAAAATAATCAAACTGTGGCTATTTTTCTCCTTAGTAATGCCATCGCGATCTAATATGCAATTATTTTTTTCAAGGTCCTCTTCCGATGTATTCTTTAGCAAACAAATAAATTAATATCCGTTTTTTAATATACATATATGTTTTGGTCTTATAGCTCAGGCTTATGATTAAATAAAGGCAAATGAAGTATGAATGAATATGAAAGACAGTTTATCTTCTTCGATTAGATTTAATTTGTGAAAGACTTTGATTTGCAGTGCTGCAAATGTTCACTGTGACAACTTGTCATCAATTGTGGAAAAGAAAAGAAAAAGAAGAAGCAAAAGAAAAAACTCCAGTCGTTTCCGGTAGTTTCCAGTAGTTTTGGTTATTCCAGAAGCAGCTGGTCAGCTGACCCAAGTCAACTGGTAGCACCTGAGCGATGGAATAGCTCAGAGTGGTCAGACGGAGTGAGACGAACCCGTGGCGGTAAGCCAGAATCTGAGTTACATGCTCCCTCTTACGTGCTCCAGTTAAGAGCATTTTGAACCAACTGGGAAGACTGGCTGACTCCAGAAATAAAGAGCATTACAATCACTCAGCCAAGATGTAATAAAGGCTTGGAATACTATTTCTAAATGCACATTTTCTGATATGATTAAAAATCACTGTCCGACTTCAAACCCAAGTTTGAGACTGCTGGCTTCACATATTTTTTCAAGGGAGGATTTGTAATGGCTAATGGCACCAAAAACTTTATGCTCATCGAGTAAGACGAACTGACACGGGAAAGACCTGTTTTGTATTTGTGGGCATTGCACTGCATTTATGGCCTTCGTCTCTACACAGCAGATCAGAACATGTTTTTGAATCAGTTGGACCTGCTGGGATCACTAAAGCTTCAATTTGGCCATTGTTCCTTTACACCCTGCTACAATATGCTATGTCAGAAAGCTATTTAACAGGCATTATTCATTCTCCACAGTCACTCAGGGGGAGGGCATTGGTGCATGCTTCACTGCGCCAGCTCTGTAAAAGTCCCACAGAACATAAAGCCGCATTGTTGCCTTCAAGCCTCCCCCCACTGCAGGGCTCAGTATGAGGCCTACAAAATGTGAATGTCCACACACAGCGCAACAGGTAAACAAGAGGCGGGAGAGCAAATTGAGAGATGAGACATCTGGATGGAGGGAGATGAAAGGAGAGAAAAGAGAATGAAGAGAAGAACACCATGGGAAGCAATAAAAAAATCCCCAGAGGTCAACGTAAAATGAATGAGTCGCCCTGAGTCATCTCATCTTCCAGGGCTGCACTGAGAGGGATGAAGGAATTGATGGCTTCTGATAAAAGCACTGAATAAACACACAATCTCTGAATGCCGAGGTTTTTTTTGCTGAGTTTTTTTTTTGTTTGTCCTGATACCAATATAGAAACAGTCTTAGCGTTTTAACTCACTGTCTTTGTGAGTCACGTCATTAACTCAAGTGACCACAGAGCCTGGAATGCAGATACAAGCGCTACTTTGGGAATGTCAGTGTGCAATGGTGCACAGTATCAGTAAAGTATCAGTCTGACGTACACATCCACAGAAGAGAGAATAACGAAGAATGCAGGAGGCTCAAATCTGACACACTACATGGTTGCACCAACTTTTAGTTCGGGCTGGCACAAAAAAAAAAAAATGATGACAATTAACTGATATGGAGCTTCTTGATACTGTAGAGAGATAGAGAAAGTAGGTCTGAAAAAAAAATTGACACACCCCTGTTTAATGCCATTTTTTTCTGATATAAAACAGACTAAGACAAATCCTTTCAAAACTTTTTCTACAATTAATGTCACCTAGATAGATAGTTAGATAGATAGCTAGCTAGATAGATAGCTAGATTGATAGATATTAGCACATTTTAATAGCTTTATATTTTCAGTCCAAAAAAAAAAATGTTGCTTTTCAAATAAAACAAACAAACTACATTTTGCACTTGATATAGAAACCTCTTGCTACTTGCATGCATAATAACACTGTAGGCGATGTGTACGTAACCAACAGATTATTACAGAAAAGCACTGTTATGTGTTTAAAATGAAATTTGTGGTGCAGGTTGAAAGCAATACACAAAAAGGCACAGAGAGATGAACGTAATGATTTAAATGTGATATGTACTAAATACTACTCAATCAACATACTATACTAGATTAAAAAAACATATATCTGGTATATATCCTTTTAAAACATTTCTGATTTAATTTTTTTTTTTTTGTGACACTGCACGTTATGATTGACGGAATAAAGCCTATGTAAAGCAACAAGACTACACCTACTCTTATATACCAAAAGAACACTGAACTATGACACGCCAAAAATGTAAATTATCATCTGTGGCAGTAATAATCATACTAAGAATGAAACAATGTTTTTTAACCCTCCTAATGGGATCATGCAGAGAAGATTTAATTTGTTGTGCAAGTGCAAAGAAAAGAATGGAGGCTCTTACCACCAAATGAGAAATGGTGATGATGATGGTGCTGGTGAGCTTTCCAATGGATGCTTCGCTGGGAGTGAGCTGCTCCGGCGGTTGTTCTCACTTTTTAAAGCCCCGTGTGGGGAGGAGAGAGCGAGTGAAGGAGGAGAGGAGTGGAGAGGAAAGATGTGGAGTGGGGAGGAGAGAGGGTGGGGGTGGGGGTGCTGTGACCTCAGAGGGGGAAACACTTCTGCTCTTTGGGCCGGATGATGACGATGCAGATGAGAGGGAGGGTGGAGTTCACACCCTCACATACATATCTATAGCCCCCTATTTTTTTTTTGGTTTTGTTTTATATTTCTTGATATTGACGTCACAAATGACATATGAATGTGCAAGCCGTGCAAAAAAACGTACTTTATTAAATCTCCAGATATTTAAATGTAATTAACCAAGCGCTGTACCACTAAAGCTGTATTTCTATAGTATTGTATCAGTATGTATCATAAAGTATCATGAGTAAGTTGTTTCAACATCATTTCCCTTTCATTTGAAGACAGTCAGTCAACACATACAGTATTTCAGCATGAGATGATGACGCAATGAAATGGATGTTCGCTCATTTCTTTGGCTTCCTTTACCTTTTCATGCACCAATAATGATAACCTGTAACCTGATGACATAATAAGCTGTCCGCTGTAGTAAGGAAAAATTCACTTTCTGGGAAAAAAATGTTGATTTATTCTGATGCTCGTTTGAATTTTGATTCACCAAAGGAAGTATTGTTACTATTTGTACAAGGATGGCAAAATATTAGCAACTTCTCATTTTTATCGTTTTCACGGTGGTATTAACACATTACTTTTTGTGTGTGCTTAACAAGTGTGGTTAATTTACACCATAAAGTTTAAAATGTAGTATGCCATACTCTAGATTTCATTTCTGTACCTCGTCATCCTCAACTGTCAAACTTATTTAATGGAAAATTAGGGGGAAAAATACATTGTATATCATACAGGTGTAACAAACATGTTCAACTTCTACTTGTTTCTCAATTGGTTAATTTACACCATAAAGTTTAAAATGTAGTATACCATACTCTATATTTCATTTCTGTACCTCGTCATCCTCACCTGCCAAACTTATTTAATGGAATATTAGGGGGAAAAATACATTGAATATCATACAGGTGTAGCAAACATGTTCAACTTCTATTTGTTTCTCAATTTTTTTTTATTTTGAATGATAAAATATTTCATTATTAAAAATTATATATCTGAAACATTCTGTAAATACATGTGAAAAAAAGCCCACTTGATTTCTTTTGTAAGTTTATATAAATTGCCCATGAATGGGGGTCCTGTATTAAAATTTCGCCAATGACTGGCCCGAAGTCAGTTGGGCTTCAGATCACATTCAACCCGAATTAGAATATGCCCAATAGACAATGGATGGATGGATGAACCTCACGGGGAAAATCATAGTTTTACAGCTGTGCAGGATAATGTGGTACACATCATACTGTTGACAACATAGAATAAAAATAATAGCAGTTTTGATTTCATCTGGTATCATCTGGAGAGCTGTGAAGCCATCGGCATTTGGCAGCTTAGACTTTGCAGTTTTGTAAGACTGCCATTCCCTTCTTCCGCCAAGTGACATTGGTGCAGGTTTGGGAAAATTGCCGACTGGGAAAAAAAATTTTCTGTCGCAGACAGCAATTCAATGCTAATTTCAGAAGCTTTGTTGGTATCACATTGCTCCAACACATAGTAAAATTAAGCTATTCATGACAAGTTTCTCCAAACACGACCTGTTCTTGATAAAACAAGCAACCAAGCCTAATATTACCAACAATGATGAAAACACAAACTCCTACAGAAGGCGCAAACAAAGGGAAATTCTATCTGGGGGGTTTACATGGCGACTATGCATCATCAAAGGTTCTATGGATTAGCTTGGTGATTCGGCGGGTGAAACTATGGGCCAGTTTGATGGCGATGGGTTGAAAGGACTGTTGGAAAGTTTCATTCTGCAGGTGTACCTAATGCAGGATAGCGTACCGGTACATAAAATGCACTGTTCCATATGTCTTAAGTGTTCTCTGTTCATGATTTGAGGAGGATCATGACCTAGCTTTCTTATTCTAAAATGTTTAACTATGTTATGATTCATTTTCCATCTGTCTGTGACCTCTAGGGCTTTCCTAAGATTGTTGTTCTTGACTCGATGCCAGTCTGTCTTATGAACCACTTGGCACCAGGAGCCATTTGTCACTACCACAATCTTCTTTTTTTTTATGCAAATCCCTCCTTCCTGAGGAAATCAGCCTCTGGAATGGCCAACATATTTTGGAATAAAATGCTGCTGTGTTAATAAATGTTTTTTGTTTACTGTGGATTCACTCTTTAAAATGTCCATATAAACTAACTGTGATGGGCGCAGAAGGTTTACTCCCATCTGTGTTACATTAGCACTCCCTGTTCAGGATGAGCAACAAGGATCACATTTCTTCTACGATGCCAGATGGAATTTATGAAAGATGTAATGTTCAGGCAGATAGTATCCTTATCTTTGGACTTAATTTGTTGAACGTGAAATATTGCAGTGCTGTTCAACGTTCTCTGTAGCCCAAGTCATCATGTTGCAATACAGGGTGTGGTGGTTATGTCTTCATATTTGTGGTTTCATTAATTTCTCATCTGCTAGGACAACTCACAGATTGACAGCAGTAATCATATAGTCTACAGTAATACATTCATGACCTGAAATTATGCTCACTTATTGATCTTTTTTATTATCTTTATTGTTAATGTTTGAAAAAGGAGCACACATTCCCATACACTGAAACAAAAACCTAATGAGCAAGACACTCATAACAAAATGGATACAGGTAAAACATGAAACCAAACTGAATCCAATAAAAATAAAATCAACAAAAACACAGATCATGACAAGAATCAAAGAACTACAAACCGAACCACAATGAGCAATGTGAGGCCAAAGAACCACCACTGTTGTTCATGTTGGATCAAATGGTGATCTTTCACTGTCGTAGATCTATGATTCAATTGTGAGATGGGACCTCAGTTAACAATATTGCATGAGGGATCATTAAAAAAAATGGTCATATGATTTATAATGACTAATTAATGCCTGAAAATGTGAAACTTGACCGAGGACTGTGACTTAACCCTGATTTATGTAATTATGTAGTCATTGTCCACATGACATCATTTGGGATCAAGACTCTTATAAAAGACAATTCGGGAGATAATTTCGAGTCGACATATTTCAAGTCTACTTTTCTAAATAAGCCTCAAGACCTGATCAGACTAGCATCCACAGTACAGTATTTTCATTGATATTTACGATGATGGCAGCATTTTGTTTTGTTTTTTTTTGCTTCAGACTGAGATTTAGCAACTTCGAAAACAGCATGCAACATGCTAATTTGTTGTAGCTTGCTGGCTTTGATAGATAGCTAGATACTATAGCTAGATGGGTGGCACTGGACTGACTGAACTACAGTCTGATAGAGAAATACGTTTTGCCAGGTGGCAAATTTGCTCAACTGTCTAATGGCAAAAGAGAAGTCCTTCAAAACAAGACCTCAAGGCAGATGTACTAACCACATGTGCACCATATGCTGCCTTCGGGTCTATAGATAATATGTACTACTGTACTATTTCTCCTTTTTGGCATGATTGAAAAAAAGTGTATTTGAAACGCGTCATCATTCAGCGATGACATTCGTTCAGAGAGCAGTTCACGTGACTGCCCCCGTGTGGGCGGAGCCTGCAGGTTTACAGGAAATCGCCGAATCAGGAAGTTAAACTTTTAGTGGAGATTTTTTTAGTTATCTAACAAAAATTGTGGACATTCACTGAGTCGGGACGCACAACTATCAGATAACAGGTAGGCGTCGTGTGCCATCGTCCATAACTTTGACTCGTGTGCTCGATAGGGGAAGTTTAGTGATAAATTCTATTGTAACACAGTTATAACACAGGCGCGTCCCTTTTCTGCGCAAATTACATGTTGATACATTCTCTTTATCAGTGCATAAACAAATAGAAGGTGCATACAAAGTGCATTCATGTGCACTTTGTGTCATTTCTGTAGCTGTAACTTATTCACTGTACAGCTACACACTCCCCGGCCAATTCATCACACTCCTACAAAATAATAACATCAAGATCTGTATAAAACACTTTTCAAAAGTTACTTATACTGACATTTGAATACCATTGTCCGTGTAACAATATATTTATCGGCGTGGCTGTAATCGTTTGGTTCACAGAATTAGTTAAATAAAAGGACAATGTAATATCGACAGGTCTACGAACATATGGGCACCGCTGTAAACTAAAGCGCTGATGATAAACAAACATTAAATTAATACTTTCTCTGGCATAATGCTTCTCCTGAAGTGGCTCATTTATATGTATTGTATGTTGTGGATTAAAAAAAAACTACATATTGATATTTACTGATACGTAAATTATTAATTACTAGTGTATTATGATGTCTGGTTTAATGTGTAGCCACTGTGAGGAGCTGGTTTGCAGAGTTGTTGTCATTGCAAATTAGATATGATTAGCATTTGTATGTGTGTGTGGGGGGGGGGCGTGTATTGACTGAACGGTATGTAGTTAAACACTTCCAAAGAATGATGCTGCCACAAACATGCTTCACTGTTGATATGGTGTTCTTAGGGTGTTGAGCAATGTTGTTTTGCGTCACACATTTCTTTTGGAGTTTTAGCCAAAAAGTTTAACGTTGGTTTTATTGGACGATAACATAATGTCCCAAACACATGGGAAAATGTGTGCAATGAGATTTCTTCGGAATTGTGGATGTTCTCTTGTTATTGTTGCCAAAGCAATCTCAAACGATTAATTCGAAAAGTATGCATTTTTCAGCAGCCTTAATACAAATGCTTGTTTTTTTTTGTGTGTGTGTGTGTGTGTGTGTAGGTGTGGCCGATTGCAGGAGCCCTGGTAAAGGCCATGAACCGTGTCCCCCTTCATCAGCCACAGAGCTGTGGGCCCTGGGAACTGAAGGAGCGTTTGGGCACGGGGGGCTTTGGGAATGTCACCAGATGGCAAAATAAGGTTTGCATTGCTACAGCATCTCCATCATCTCCAGTCACACGTCTTTGGTACTTTAAGATACACCGGCGCTACCAAAACATTAGGAGCTTTTCAAAGAAAGCAAGATAAATTGAGGAACCAGGGTGGGCTTTTGTGCTCAAAAGCCACATGTTTTTATTTTTTTAAACGGACAGATGGGTGAGGTCGTACATTAGGGAATAATAAAAATAAAGTTCAAGCGTTATTTTTGAGGGAAATTTATAGCATGTAAAGAAAAAAAACTTATGTTTTTTAACAACAGCTAAATTGAAATGAAGCACATTTTTCATCACCATTGCGAGACAAAACGGCATTATCAAATATTGATACTTGGTATCGGCGCTTACTCAAATGAAACAACTTGTACTCTTGCTGAAAAAAGTGGGTTTGGTGCATCTCGCCTGAACGTCGCAATTATTCCTCAAATGTCATCTCGTTTGACTTATTGACACTGTCAATATTAGGAACAGCTCTCAGTATGAAACAATGCAGTTCCAGTCTTTCCCACAAAACTATTCATCCATCCATTCTCTAATCCGTTTATCCTCACAAGGGTTGCGTCGGGGGGGTTGCTGGAGCCTATCCCTAGCTGTCTTTGGGCAGTATATGGGGTACACCCTGAACTGGTTGCCAGCCAATCGCAGCCACTCCACACTACAGCCACAATAAGAAACTATTGCTACGTGAATAAGTACTGTGTCCAAAAACTCCACAATACAATCTTTACAAGAGCCGATTTTGGTTGGAGCCCTTTTGTGGGCTGTCGTTGTTACATTATACAGATGTGCTTGATGTTGTAGTCAGCAAAAATACGTGAAACACTTTCAGCATATTTTTATGCTATAATTGGAGAGCCAAGTTTATTTTTAGAGCATAATTTGTACACAAGGCAAGTCAAGGTGTGTAGTGGGTAGTCAGTTAGTGTATATGGCGTCAAAAGCGTCATCTGCATTCAGGCGTTACTTTCCTGGCATTGTCCTGTCGCTCCAAGTTTCCTGCTTACGAGGAAACCTTGACCTTTTTTTTATAAGCAAAGTCATTAAAAAAACAAGAAAAGTTTTTATTTGTATTTAGCTGTTAAGGAAAGTTCTTTGTTTTTAATTAATAGACTTTGCACCCAAGAAGCTTTCTTATTTCAATTCAATGTGATCAAAAACAGTATAGTGACATCACTCCTATTCATAGGATGACAGCATTTTGGGAAGTCGTGTATGGAAGTATGAGCACACGCTCTTAACGGACCTTCCTCTTCCATTCTGTATAACTTCGTTTGCGTTAGTCACTAGCAGGAGTGTATACTGTTTGTTGATCACATTCCATGATAAGAGTGTTTCTAACTTTGAACAGTTTGTACGATTTGTACCATAAATATTTGAAAAACAGACCGAGGAATAACCCGCTCCAAAATAGGAAAGAAATTTGGGACTGCGGTGCCACTTGTTGCATTGGAAATGTCTACCCAAAAATAATGTTTTGAAATGACTACTTTCAATTACACATCATTTCAAAATATCGTCAGATATCTTAAGGTACTCCAAGCTTTGACAGTTTTTACGAATAAAACCTCTGTCTTGTTTTTAATGAACAACCTACTTTGCTAATCTATTTTAATGTTGCTCATGGTGGTGGTACTTGGAGAGCAGAGATATATATATTTTTTGAGGTGGTACTTAGTGTAAAATTTGAGCACCACTGGTTTCCAGTAATGGAAGAAGCAGAACATTGAGTACCTGAAGAGCGCACCGGTGATGATTAAACTTCCTTCTTCCCGTATGGATGACAATGCTGCGCGTTATGAGGAGGCAGTTCACGTTACGGGCAGCCTTGACCATGATGACGCCGTGAGAAACAGGGAATGAGATCTGTACTCTGTGTTGCTCATCACTTACTTAACTGATGTTATGCTATATGCTATGTCATTGGTTCTCTGCAGGCCATCACATTCATCGGATATTTTACCGCATATAAATAATAAATCACATCGTCATCATCCCTACTTTCGTCTTCTATTATTACTAATACATTATTCAAATCAATTTGATCGGTTAGCCTTTGATTTTTTATTTTTTGCAATCGTCTTGTGCAGTTTCCCTTTGATGGTGGTTTCATATTTCCAATGTGTTGGCAGGATACAGAAGAACAGATTGCAATCAAACAGTGCCGCCAAGAGCTGAGTGAGCGAAACAAAGAGAGATGGTGTCTGGAGATCCAGATCATGAAGAGGTCAGTTACTCAGCAAAAAAAAAAAAAAACAAAAAAACATCACAACTATCTTTGTAATGTGTTTCTTTTTTTTTTAATTCGCACTCAGTTGTGCTTCATAAAAACTAACAATTGGATAGAATGTAAAGAATCAAATGCTTTTTTTGCAGAGGATAAAGTACATATGCCTGTGACTGTTATATTGTGTTGCTGTACCGTTGATGCAATTCGCTAGCCCATTTATTAGTTGTCAGCATGAATCTAGAGAACAGTTTTTTTTTAAAACCCCAATGTGTAATCCTCTTTGTTTTATGTTTAGTTTTGACAGTAAACTTAAAATGGGAGGGATCGTGATTACACAGTTTCAAGCTTCTTTTTTGAAGAACTGCTCACTTGACCATACAGCATCCAACACAGACAGAGCTGATGTGACTTGCCATAAAGTGCCTGTTGTTGTCTTGTCGGTCCAAAGGACGTTCTTACAGAATTTTCGGGTTTTTTTTCTTCTTTCATTGGAAGAGTACCAACAATTTTATCCACGTGTTAGCATTTTGTGTTATTTTCTCTTCCCTATTTGAAAAAGATGTTCGTTTTAGCATGTCTAGTTTAGCTGTACAAACTTGTCTTAATTCTGGTGAGGAAATCAGGGGTTTTCCTCTTTCTTTTGATCAACCAATGCCTCTGGTTTTTTGCCTTCAGCTGTGTTTGAGAAGAAAAAAAAAAACAAGAAAGCAAATAAAACACTTGAGTTTGTTGTTGTGACTCACCGCAACACATTCCATGACATGTGTTTGACATTTGCGAGTTCCACCCCCATTTCTGTTTTCTCAACTTAAAACCGCTAGCCTAAAATAGTCGGAATGGCACGGGGCATTTAACAATAAGAGGTTTGGGTTTGAGGTGAGTGGTTATTTGTGGACTTGAAGTGGTTATTTCTGACACAATAAAGTGCCACCTACTCATTGTGCCCCACTTTGGTGTCATCATGTCCCCCCGCGTCTGTGTTGTGGGTGTGTCTTTTTTTTTTTTCTTTTACAAGACTGAAGACATCATACATGAATGTGTGTGTGTGTGTATACAGTATATGTGTGTGTAGTTGTGTGTCACTAAGTTCAAACGCGGCCATGAAAACATTTCAACAAGTGTGTTGTTCTCAGACAACCACAAAGCTCTGGACTCGTACACCCACGTTGTGACAAAGATTGTCAGGGCAAGCTATTATATAATCACGCTACAAATGCCTACATGCACGTATTGTGTAAAAACATGACCTTAATGGTGTTTTGGGATGAGATATTCTCGAGTTCGGACATACACTTTGTTCAGAAGGATTGTACGAGCCTGCTCCTTTAGAGCGTCTTCCTCCACTTCAATGTGTTTTTAATTCATTCACTCCCAAAGACGTTTTTAAACGTCTTTTCAGACTTGGTCTAGAATTGGCTGGTACTGAATGAGTTAAGTCGAATGTATTTTCCACAGGAGGTCATATGGTTTTTCTCGCGAAAGCATACGGTCTTTATCTTTTCAACACTCAAGTTTGTGAAAAGGGTTCAGTCATTTGACAAATGAACATGTCTGCCTGCGTCTTATTATTGCAGCGTCTCCCCGCTAATGCCGCTGTGATTAAATGTTCCACACTTTATGGCTGGAGCATATCAACTGAAGTTTGTTATCTCGACTTTTCTACTTCTGCTTTGTTAAAAGAGCGCCAGGCCGAGTGGTGTTGTTAAAGATGCCAAAATAGTTTATCCATTACATACCATCCATTGAGGTGGCAACTACAGCAGCATTGTATTTAAAGGGATGGACCTCCTGCTGTTGATTGATTAGTCAGTAAAAACTGATTGCGTCTTTGTGACAGGAATTCAGTGGAAACCTCCTTGAAACTACAGCAGCAGTTTCTGCACAGCGGAAATTTGCAGTGTTCAAACAATCACGGACCTCTTCGTGTCCAGCGGTGTGATTCCTCGCACGCCTTCCACTTTGAGAGTGTGTGCTATATTGTGTATCGAGGAGCTCAAACAGCCAGCCAGGCATATTCCACAATGCAAGCTTTTATTCACAAACCGCAGGCAGCAACCCTTCTGGGCCGCTCGCCAACGCCCGGGCATGATTGGCGACAACATCCAGTCGTCAATAAAGTCTGGCCTTCAAAATGCAAGCAGCTCTGACTGTTCCTCAAGTCAAAAACACAGGATTAGCGACTAATCGGCACCACGTTCGTAACCCTTCATGCGCTCTGTAATCTGATAACATGATAAACTGTCCACTGTAGTAATCGCTGTCCCTGAAAGGGTTAAAATCGCAAAGTCAATTAATCGACTAGTTTGTACAACCCCTACTATGCAATAAACGATGCTTGGGGCAGCTATGATTCTTTTTTTCTTCACTGTGAGTCAGTGATCTCTTTGTAGCGACACCTCACTCATCAGTCATACGAGTTTTTGGGTTCGGTATTGTTTGAGACAGAGGGCAGCCCCACCCGAAACTGCTGCTGCTCAAGGTTTCTTCCCGCTAAAAGGGCGTTTTCCTCACCATTGTTGCCAAGTGATTACTCACAAGGGATCTATTGCAGGGGTCCCCAACCTTTTTTGCCTCACGGACCGGTTTAATGTCAGATAGTATTTTCAGGGACCGGCCTTTAAAGGCCGGATAAATACAACAAAATAATATGATATGACCGGCATGAAAACTGTGGTATTTTCGAAACATAATAATAAACACAAACCACGACACCGGGAACGTCCTATCTGGCCGGAACATTCTCTGGTTGCTATGGTAACATTGAAACGTGCCTTCAAAATAAGATAGACCGCAAATACAAAAAATACGACTCTCCCATCGCCACATATTATGCAGATTGGGCTTGGTGCGTGGGAATCTCCCGTTGTGATCAATCCGGATTTAAGTAGGACTCCTGACACTGTCTATTCAATGTAGCGTTCTTTTTCTTGAAAGTCGTAGGCTTCTCCACAGTCTCCTGGCTGGGCCTTTCCCCCTGCCCAAAGAAACTTTCCAAAAGAGCTTTGCTTTATACTCATTTTGCTAGCTCCTGGGCTTCATTTTAGCGGTAACCTATCACGTGACTGACAAGCGCGCCTTCACCCGCGTCTAGAATGACATATTGTAGACGGATGTAACAGAGGATCCAGTAATTTTTCAAAATAAGACATCTTTCAGATTCCGAAATGAATAAAATGGAAGGAATGCAAGTTATTTATTCTTTCTGTGGGGCCTGGCACTAAATGGCCCACGGACCGGTACCGGTTCGCGGCCTGGGGGTTGGGGACCTCTGATCTATTGCGTGTCTCTAATATCATAATAAAGAAGTCTGGGGCAAAACATGCCCCATATGAAATGTTTCTTGTGATTGTTTGTTGTGGTAAATAGAGGTGAATCACTAAATTGGAGCTTCCGGACACCACGTTGGGATGCACTGATTTTATAGTACTGTACAAAACTTGTTCTTGTCTTTTTAGCAAATCATTTAAAAGATTAAAAACTTTATGACCAGGTTGGATCATGTCAACGTGGTGGCAGCGAGGGAGGTTCCCGAAGGGATGCAAAAACTTGTGGCTACCAACGACCTGCCGCTGCTGGCCATGGAATACTGCCAAGGAGGGGATCTGAGAAAGGTAAAAAGAAATACGACTGCTGTTATATGCAAAAAATGGGTCAATCTCGCTTCAAAAGTACCTTTGGCATCCTCATTAGACAGTGATTGCGAAAATGTTGTAGAATAATGAAACTGAGGTCACCGTAAAGTGTCAAATGGATGCTGTCAAGCTCACCATGTCTACTCTGTCATCGTGAAATATCATTTATATGAAAACCTTAAAAAAAAATGTTAAACGACACAGTCGGCTTGCTCACTGACTCATGTTGCTAAGTGAAGGGTCACCATGCGCTAAATAAATGATAACATAACGTCAAAAATATCCACCCAGTCTGGAAGCTCACATATATGTGTCAGCTTGCTGTTATTTTCGATTTAGAAAAGCTCAAAGGCACCTTTTAGTGATATTCTAAGAATGAAGAGATACGCAGCATCATTTCTTCACCTGTGCCACTTTTTTTCCCCCATCAAAGAGTCATTTGAGTTTTTGAGTTTGTCGGGAGCAGCGAATAGTGTGCATGTTTTTTTTTTTGTTTTTTTTTTAAGATGAAATCAGTCAGTTATGCAGAATATTAACACCAGACAAAACAAAATACCAACTGTCACGAACCACAAAGCCAGTGAAAGCAAGTTGTAGGCAGATGTCGGGTCAGTCTTATCCTTTTTGTCAGGTTTCCACCATTGAGTGATTGCCGTTTTTTGTTCGAAACGTCAATATAAATCCTTTGCTGAGTTACCAGTTTGTTCCCTCTCTACACAAAACTAGAAACAACAACTTTGAGTCCATCGTTGGGTTTGTGTGTTACAATCTGAGCCCATGCATGAACGCAATGCACTTAATGGATGGAAAATTCTCTAATGGCGACGAAATGAGGACATGCTCTAAATCACAAGGGCAGATTCATATGACGTGGTCATTACTCTTGTTTTGTGTCTCTTCCCTCCGCAGTATCTGAACCTCTTGGAGAACTGCTGTGGAATGCGCGAGGGCTCCGTTTTGATTCTGTTGTGCGACATTTGTGAGTATCACCGCCAGCATTGTGACTTTGGTGAAAGTAGCTATTATTTGATTAATTTCACGTCTGAGTGAGCTGGCAGGATGATTGACTTCCTGTCCTTTAAAAACCGGGGTAATTTCGCCTGTATCATGATGTCACCGCTGGCGCGAAACCGCAGCGCTTAGTCACCATGGCGACAGCTCACACACAGGCAGAAGCGTCAGCATCGGACCACGGCGCTTGCTTTCGTAACATACGAGCACTCAGTGGCGCTGCTCTCCCAATGTATACACTTTTGACATGAGGCACACACACACAATTACACTGTAACATGCACACACATATTGAAGTATGCGTACATCCTATGACTGGTTAAACAGTCATCATCCAGGACCCACAAAAACTCACTCTTTGACGCAAACGTTTTGTGGAATTTTTTTTCCCGCTAAACACTGTTTTTGATGCCAGATGGATGGTTGTTTTAGCTTACCACTGGCCACGCCTCCATCCCGAGTCGTCACACGCAAAACATCCTGACAGGAAGTTTCTTCCACTTGGGATATACCAACACTCACAAAAGGCAGGCTATGCTCATGTGAGTTCAGCTAATTAACCCTTTCAGGGACAGCGGTTACTCCAGTGGACAGCTTATCATGTTATCAGTTTGCAGGGTGCATGATTTGGTTACATTTTACTCCCCTACATTAACATTCAAAAGGGAACTAAAGGCTAAACATTTCTACACAATATAATCTTTGTGTCCGAACAGTATTCTGATTGACATTGTGTTTGGGGAATGAAGAAGAAGAATTAAGCGGATCTGTTTTCATTAATGTCAGGGTGCTGCCATTTGCCCTCTGCTGAGATTGACAACAAACTGCCTTCTGGCTCGCATTGCAAACATCATGGCTCACCTCCGCCTCAAAGTGCCATCATAATGACCAACATTAAACTACAATATGTTTTCATAAAGAACAAGGCAGACGGTGTAAAATATGGGGGAAAAAAATACTGTACTAATTCCAATTACAATATATACGACTTAAAATCATGTAACCAATGCAAATGCAAACATTAGACCCCAAAAAACAGTCAAGAGGGAGGAGCAGGGTGACCTTGACAAATTGCATTCACAAAATACTGAGGAAACTAAATCCAAACCATACAAAGTCATGAAAACCAAAAGAATCCAAAGTAACAAACAAAAAACATGGCTGAAGCAAAAAACTAACAGTAACAGAAACAATGGCAGAGAGAAACAATGACCCGACACCAAGTGGTCATGCTGGGAGTCCTTTTAAACAGACACTAATGACACAATAACCAACAGGTGTGCAGCTGCAAGGTGGAGCCCTACAGTGCCACCTGTTGGTCACAAACAGAACCATGACACACCTGTTTTTATGGGTTTGGGCAGATATTGTCATACGAATGTCATTAAAATGAGGAAAGTTAAAAAAAAAAAAAACATGGCAAACAGAGTTTTGGAAACTCTGAACCCTGGAGCCAATTTTTCTTAAACCCAAAACAGACCTTAGATTGATCAAAATATGAGTCCAGTTCATAGAAACTTAATTCTCTGGAGATTCCTGTGATGAAAGGGGTATTCGGCGGTGAATCTTGCCTAATTGGTCCCATTCTGCTTTTCTTTTTCTTCCTCTTAGCCTCCGCTCTGACCTACCTCCACAAGAAGCGGATCATCCACCGAGATTTGAAACCTGAAAACATTGTACTGCAGCAGGGAGAGAAGCGAGTGAGTTCAAACGTCCCCCTCGCCCATGTCACATACGCCCAAAGCAGAAGGACGAGGTCAGATTTTCGCCTTTTGCCATCTTTGGCCTTTTGTTTCGACAGATTTTCCACTACAAGCCTTAGTTTGACTTTATGACGGAAAACCAAATCCTGCAATTTATCCTTGGGCTTCTAAGGTTGAGATCTCTTTTTTATAAGCTTACATCACGATCCATCTTCCATTCGGGAGAGCGTTATCCAACACAGTTCCGACATCAAGGGACATTCTTGAGTACTTATTAAGTTAAGTAATAATCATTCATATAAGATTTTTTTTTTTTTAAATCATCATTTTATGTGCCCCGCGAAAGCAAATCAAACATGGCAACTTCCACGAGGCTTGCTAAAATATGGACCAAAATTTCAAATTCTCATATGTAATAAATAAGAAAGATACTGTAAACATTTTCTCGTCGGCAAACATCCTATTACAGTAACTTAAACAATAGTTCAATAAACTCTTATTCTTGACGTGTGATTTCCATCATAATGGCCCTCCAACGGAAATGGTAACTAAAATGTGGCCCACGACGAAAATGGGTTTGACACCCCTGCTTTAGAATGTTCTTGGCAGCTTATAAATCCGTTTTATATGAGATTTTCAAAAAAAAAAGAAGAATGAAGGAAATGTTTCCCAAAAATCTTATGTCCAATAAACAAGTGCTTGTCTTAACTTTACATGTCCAGATTTTATTACATTTTTTTTTGCACGTTTCACGATCCACCTCTTTGGGGGTGTGTACAGCCCAAAGTGAGTGAACTTGAGGAGGAGATGATGCACCTGCAACAAGACATTCTGGACGTTCAGCGTCAGCCATGGAGGAGTGGAGAGGCTCTGGACACACTGTGAGTCACATTCAAACGACTGTTTAATCGGAACAATTAACTGGTCTAAGAACTGCCTTTTAAACCCGCTTCCCTTTTAGTGAAGGGAAAGCCATGGAAATGGTGCGCAAGCTGAGAGAGAAACCGAAAGGTTTGGATTTTTCATACATTGTTTTTTCCCTTCGGAGCACTTTTTTCTCTCCGTGTAAATAAACTTTTTCTGCTTCCTGTCTGGCAACCCAGAGCAGCGTTGCTCTGGGGATGGTCAGGAAATCTTGCGTCTGGTGGTTCAGGCGATGCAGTTCTATGAGAGGAAGCTACGAGACTTCTACACACACCTCAGGTACTGATGGAACTGTCGATCCACTACAAAAACACAAGCAGTTCCTAAAACGTCGAAATGGGGGGAAAAAAATGTGAGTTTATCACAGGGAGTGGGGTAATTTAGAGTGGAATGTTATTTTCTACACAGCAGCTGCTGTCCTTCATTGCTTTGTTGACAATTTTTACTGGTTTCCTTCATTGTATTCATACTGCATGCAATGTTCCCTCAAAGCTGCCCGAGTGAGCTTTTGCGCATTTCTCTCACCCTCTGAGCGCACACACCATGCACATATTACATTTCGACAGTCATTCCTTCATTTCCACTCCACCTTAATCTAAAAACAGGACACCAGACTATTCCCACTTACATTTCAGTTTCAGTCTGTGATAGTTTGATGTGTACATTGACACACATTCCCTCACGCTCACCACGGACAAAAGGCTGCAGGCGACGCGTGGATTTCTCTATTCAGGAAGTCCAAATGTGGACATAGTTCACGAGCCTCTTGAATGAGGCTTTTTCGCATGTTTCAAAGTTCAGGTGACGATGAATTTTGGTGACTGTAGCTATGTTAAAAACATGCAAATTACAATCTCATGTGTACCTTTGGAGGTTCTTCTCAAAAAGATAGACGTTATTGGCAGGATTCGAACCTGCGCGGGTATAACCCAATGGATTTCGAATCCATCGCCTTAACCACTCGGCCACAACAACACATTTATGTTCTCATACGTCTCGTTTTTGTAGGAGAATACTTAATTTTGAGCGTCAAACCTGGTTCACCTCGAGCCCGAGTCCTTAGACAATGGCAGCTATTTTGTAGCAAAAATGTTGGTGTGGCCCCGTGATAAAGATGACAGACGAGAAATCCAGCTGGGTCAGCCGGCCCAGGTTGAAGTCCTGTCGACAGTGAATTTAGTTCGGAAATTTGACAGAAAACACGGTGACTCTCTCAAAGAGAAGCACAGAATTACAGAAAATTTTGCACTACAACGCGCTCGTTGTCGGCAGGATTTGAACCTGCGCGGGAAGACCCCAATGGATTTCAAGTCCATCGCCTTAACCACTCGGCCACGACAACACATTTGCTTAAGTATAGGTGACATTTTTGTAGGCGAATACTTAATTTTGAGCTTGAACTGGTTGACCCTGAGCCTGAGTCCTGAGCCAATGGCAGCCATTTTGCAGCACATATGTTGGCGTGGCCCCGTGATGAAGATGATGGATGAGAAATCCAGTTGGGTCTCCCTACCCAGGTTGAAGTCCTGTCGACAGTAAATACTGTACAGTTAGATTTGGTATAAAACATGCTGACTCTCTCAAAGAGAATCATAGAATTTGCGAAAATGTCTTTCCAAGAGATGCTCGT